GCTTTGTTTTTAAAGAACCCAGATTTAGCTACATACCATGATAAAGCATCAAAGCAAATCTTGGTATATGTTGCTCAGAAAGAAAGAAAAACGTGCATCCTGCTGAGAAGCTTGAATCTGTCGTGAGTTTTAGGATGATAAATTGAAGACATGGAAGAACCAAGAAAGGTTTTTTGGGTTTTGTTTGTTTATGGATAGAAGAGACCTGAGAATGTTTATAGGAAGTAGGTAAATCACAAGTGTAGAGAGAGAAAGAGAGATACTGAAGTTGACAGAAGGAATGATCAAAGTGTCGAGTTCCTAGAGTAGTTGTCCAGGGCACATGTGGAGATCAATTAGTTTAGGCAAGGCCGAGTCTTCTTCATCCTCTGAGACTAGAGCAAAAGACATTGTTTAGTGACTTCAAGTGCTCCCCTAGCAAAAGACAGTCCTTTCCCTCAAGGATTTCACAATCTTTGTACAAACAAGCTATATACACAATAAATATCAACAGAGTGAAGGCATTAGATTAGTAAGACATTAGGAAAAATTTGGAACTCAAAATCTTATAAAAGTAGATGTTGAAAACTAAAAATAAATAAAAAGGAAAAAAGAAATTTAAAAAAAAGATTAGGAAAGTCTTCCAGTAGAAGTTGAGGTTTTAGCTAGGACCAGAACAAAGGGAAAGTAGGAGGCAGAGCTGAGAAGAGAGAGCATTCCAGGCATGGAGGGCAGGCATGTAAAATGCCAAGAGCCAAGAGATTGCAGTGCCTTGTTTGTGGAACAGCAAGGAGGCTGTTTTTACTGGATCTCTGGGTGGGGTGGTGGTAGTAAGGTATAAGAAAATTGGAAGGGTGGGGTGGGGAAGGGTCTAAGTTGTGAAGAACTTTGAATTGCAGAGAATTTTGTGTCTGATCCTGGAGGTGATAGGAAGTCACTTGAAGCTTATTGAGGAGGGAGTATGGTAACATGGCTGGACCTGCCTCTGGGGAATATCAGTTTGGTGGCTGAATGGAGAATGGACTGGAGACTTGAGGCAGGCAGAACAACCAGCAGGCATGTGGAGATGAGGAAATGTTGTTCCAGGATAGTGGCATTATCAAAGGAGAGAAGAGAACATGGTCGAGAAATGTTGCAAGGGTGAAATTGATAGGACAGGCCTGGGTATAAGACTTGAGAAGAGGGGATGAGAAATAGTGAGGAGTTTGAGGTGTGTGAGCTTGTGGGACTTGGAGAAAAGTGTTGCCCTTGACAGTAATAAGGGACTGTTTTATGTACATGGATCCCAGTCCCAGTTTTTACATGATTTCCATTGACACATCGCTTAATTTCCAACTGGCCATCTTCACTTAGATATCTTTTTTTTTTTAATATAAATTTATTTATTTTTAGTTTTCAATATTCACTTCCACAAGTTTTTGAGTTCCAAATTTCTCACCCCTCCCCCCACCCCAAGATGGCATGCATTCTGAATACCCCTTCCCTGTTCTGCCTTCTCTTCTATCTCTCCCCCCTCCCTTCTCTTATCCCCTTCCCCTTCTATTTTCCTGTAGAGCAGGATAGACTTCTGTACCCCATTTCCTGTATTTCTTATTTCCCAGTTGCATGTGAAAACATTTTTTTTAAAACATGTATTTTTAAAACTTTGAGTTCCAAATTTTCTCCCTTCCTCCCTCCCCACCCGCCCTCATTGAAAAGGCAAGCAACTCAATATAGGTTGTACATGTGCAGTTATGCAAAACACTTCCTTAGTAGACATGTTGCTTCACTTAGATATCTTAAAGGCCCCTCATATTGAGTAAGTCTTAAAGCCTCATTTTCCCCTAACTTCATTTTTGTTAATGGTGCCATCATCCCAATCACCCAAGTTCAAAATTGATTTTAGTTTGTTGAATCAAAAGAAACATTATGCTTCAGGAATCAAATAGTGCATTCCAAAGCCATATATCATTTAAGCTTTTAAATGTTTTGAATAACCCATTTTGAATTATGTTTTGCTAATTACCCATCAATTAAATGGATAATCAAAAGTTGACCGTATTTTTTTTAAACATTGAAATGCCAGTGTACATTTTTAGTTTCATAATCAAGTACATATTTGGATCAATTGCTGTGTTACTTTTTGGGGTGATGTAAAGGTGTATAGAATTGTGACTTTATTCTTGTAGTGAACTCCTAGTGTGAGAACTTTGTTCACCGATACAAATCCACAACTATTTTGGTTTTTAAAGCCTTAGAAAGTTGTCTGTGACTCTGAAAGCTTAAGTGACCTGCTTGTGTTCACGTAGCTAGTATGTGTCAAAGACATAATTTAAAACCATGGTCTTCCTGACTCAGGACTGATCACACCACACAACACCGCACCACACATCTCCTATATAAACTGTCGTTTCCTAATATAGATTTTAAAAGTGTTTTTAGACATCACAAAGACAAAAGAGAAGATTTATAGCAAGTTGATATAAAGACAGAGGCAAACATGAACTAATTAACATAAACTTAGAACTAAGACAACAGAATCTAGAGGCTATCAATATTATGTAAATCTAATATTTCAAATAGAATTATACTTAGTGGCTAATTATATTGGTTGAAGGATGGTTTTTTTTTTAGAAATAGTTACAAATTCTCATTAATTCACAGAGTTACTAAGCCATTTTATGACTTGACAAAATAAATCAAATTATGTTACAATGAAGTCTTAAATAAGACGTATCTAAAATTTGTATTACATTTGAATTTAGTTGTAATCATAGTGTAGATTTTATTGTCCCTGGTATTATGACTTGAACTTTTGAAGTGGGCAGTTCAACTTAACTCTTTAGCTATTTTTGTGACCCCTTAATAAAAATATTATTTTGTGTATTTCATAGATATAATTGTTATGGTAACAGTAAAATTTCCAGTTAGTGTACATAAATATTACATTAAGATATTTTAATATAAGTTTGCTGAAAATTCTGTTAAATTTGCAAATGCATTTAATGCCATTTAAATAAAATAATCTGAACTGTGACCTAATAAAATCCTAGTTCAGATTAGTTATAATGCTGTTATAATGTTATATTTTGATACTTAGTTTAGTGGAGTTCCAAAGTGAGCTTGCTTTATACTTACTGCTTATAGCAAGTTGTTTTTTTTTATTAGGTATAAAAAGTAATTTAAGTTTTGATATTGACATTTGATACAGAAAAAAACAAATGAAAGAATCAAACTTCATTACCTACTTTTTACTCATCTGTGCCTAATCTGCTTATTTTACTCATCACTATATGCCAGAATTTGAAGTATTAAACCCAAAGTAATTAAATCATTTTTATGAGTTCAGAGATATATTCAAATATTTTAGCAATCAGTGCCTAGTGCTAATCTGGAGTTGTAGACCTCTGTAATGCAATGTCACTGTAGTTTAAGATAAAAAAGATAAATAAAAACAGTTCTCTAAATTCATTATTCCCAGTGATAATTAGAATAGTGTGGCTTAAAATGAACATTTGGCTAAAATGCATTTCCATATCCAGTATAGTCCTTATTTTGATGCTTGATTGAGATGGACAAACACAAAAGGAAAAATAATTTCACTGAACATTATTTGAACTGTCTTAAAATGTAAGGTTTTATTTAGTGACTAGGGTACCAAAAATATAAAACCTTTTTCTCCTCATGTTTCTTGGAGATGAGGCTTAATTGATCATTTGGCTTTCTTTGAAAATATTTATATGAGTATGAATATACACAAGCATGTGCACACAAATAATCCTTTGTGCAAAGTGAAAGAAATTTCATTATGAAATAAATTATAATTAAACTTTTGAAATAGTGATGGCATAATAACAAGCATTGAATCAATACCCTGCCGAATCTAATGATAAAATAATAATTCTTCCTACTGGTCAGTAAGGGTTGACACTGACTTTTTTGAATAAAGTTCACCCTTGAATCCCTGCCAAGAAATCTTAATCTTTTGACATCCATGACATCCATAAGGTCTAACATTTCCTGCCAATTTCTGGTCTGCCTGCTGTAGCCAAGATTCTGAGGATTTAGGATTGAATTAGCAGAGAAGTCCTAAAACCGAAATTGCTAATTGGCGTTTGGCTTAAGGTTGTATTCAAGGACAAGGAAAGGAAGGGCATAAAAAGTGTTTTTAAAATAACTGCATTTGAACAGAAGTCGTTACCTAAAGATAGTCTTTACCATTCTCATATACAACAGAATAACTAGAGAAATCCTATTTGTTAAATTTTTTTTTCCTCAGTAAAACTTGAGTATCAAAATTCTTATGTGTTAACTGGGCAAATCCTTTTAAGATGATATTTAAGATGATGATTCTAGGTGAAAAATCCTACTTGTAAAATATGTGCTTTGTGAATAATATTCCATTTCTGTTGTTTATTGGATATAGTGACTGAAGATGATATAATTTTTCCTTCATAGCAGGGCAGTTTTAATTTTAATTTCATACATCAGAGATTGAGCTACATTTTGACTGTGATTAGCCCAATGAACAAAATCTGGTACTGAGTGTGCTAATTTATTAAGATTTTCGCTTAACTCTCATCTATAAGAATCCAGATTTCAGAGAATTATAAATAAAGGGTTAATTACCTAAAGTGAGAGTGAGGTGTGTAATTAATGAATTTATGCAAATGGTATAAGAATGTGATGACATTCTGCCTAACAGGATGATTATTATTTTTCCAAATCATAGCCCAAAGTATAAGTAAAATATTTAAGACTTTCCTTAATCTGGAATGATGAATTTTTCATTTGTAATCTTAAATTAATTTTAAAATAAAGCTGAAATTTTGTTGGCTTTTGAGTCCATTAGATTTATGATGTCTTTTTCTAAATGTATTAGCTTAATATTAAACTTCTATCCTTTATAATAACCTCTTCAGTTAAATATTTCAAAATATGCTAAACATTTATCGAAAAGGAAACAATTTTCCTTTTATGTCATATCTTTATTTTTATGTAACCGAAAGTATTAAAAAAAAAAACTAATAGCTTATAAAGCATGCAACACCTTTGATTTTTATCTAGAGCCAAAGGCAATTTCATCATCTGAAAATATTGATCAGTATGTAGAAAGGTTAAAAATAATGCTAGACAGTACAAGCCATGGTTAAAATTGTATTGGTAATTTTACAGTACATTTGATTAGTAATGTTCTTTCCATACTATCTAAATTATCACCTTTTCAATCATACATATAAGGTGTGTATTCAGGATCTCAAAGAAAAAAAGATTTTAACACAAGTCTGATTGTAAATTTTATGTGTGTGTGTATGTGTGTGTATTAAATAATGTACCCTGATCAAGGTGTCTGTGGCATTGCCATCTATTATCTTGTTTACATGAGCAGTTTCTTGCATACTTTGTAGCAGAAAAGGACATAATTATTCATATTTGTGCTGCTTCAGCCTCCCCAGTCTTTTATCTTTGTAAACTGAATCTTATCTGTCCATCTTGCCATACTTAGATACCATTCACTGGATTTCCAGATGCATTTCACAATCAGTAATGTGCCTTGAGTGAGACACTTAACCCTGGAATGTGCCTTACAGCTTTCAGAGACACTGCTTTTTAAATGAAGTATTAGAAACATTATTTTCAGTGCTATTTTTCCCCCAAATATATAACTATCGCTAGAAAATACCATTAAAGTGTAGTGTATATGTACACAAAAACAATAACAAAGAGGTTAAGCACTGTCCCAATGATTCCTAACATGGCTAAAATAGATTCTTCTTTTTCCTCTTTCTCCTCTTGCCTTTTTACATCTTCTACTGTAGTGATGGCAGAGGTACCCATTTTTCCAGCAGATATCTTCACCAATATTTTGACAGCTAGCTAGAGAAAAAGAAAGAAAATGAATGTTCTCTAAAGAAGTAACTTTGAGCTTTCGGAATATAAGAATGTATTTAGCATTTTCTGTAGGTTTATTAGAGTAATTTAATTTTAATTTCTCAGTGTGCAACTCTCTTTGTATTTTTGTGTTGATCACATTAAATATGTTGTACATCGTTTCTTCTGACTCTAAAGTAAATACTATTTTAAATCATCAAAATGCTTTTCATTTCAAAAGTTCTACAGCAACATAAATGGTCATTTAATTTCAAGGAACTTATCACAAAACTGTAGTACATAATGTTTGCATTTTTGAAACTTTAGGTACATTTTTATTTCCCAGTACATGTAATAGCCAAGTTAGCATAATTTGTTCCAAGTATAATTTTGTTAACTCTTAAGTAGTTAAATGTATGAGATTATTAGCCTAAAAAAATCACTTTTTTTCCTGACCTTAGAAAGAATAGTTTGCTGTATAAAACCCAGGTTTAATAACCTGGGTTTGAAGTATTACCACTGGAATTATTTTCATTTATTGCAGCTTTGAAAATTAAATCAATTTTGTTAACTGATTAGAATATATATGAAAATTATGGCAATTTTTATGACCAAAAATTATAGAATCTTTTAAGCCTAATTAAATTACCATCCTAAATATGGCAATTTTAAAATTGTCATTCCTTACCCTACATTGCATCAGGAATAAAATGTCATCAGACATGCTCCTTAGTCCATAGTAGTGATGAACCAACCTTTTATCTTCATAGATAACTGCTTTTTATGTTCAGAGAAAAGGAAAATGTGTGTACAGCAAGGAATTCCTTAGTAAACAAATTTATTGTGAAAAAAAACATAAAAAGCTTTCAGTCTCTTAAAAGGCATAGGCCTTATCCATCAGTAATCCATTCTGAAATTCATTATTGTCTTTCAGTAAGAAAAGATAAACCTCATTTTCAATATTAGTCCATGCTGTAAACATGTTCCATTTTCAGTGGTAGAATTCTTTTTATTTTAAATCCCATATTTGCTGAATCAGGGTAACAATATCTGTCATTGAAGTTTCATATGCTCAGGGAAAAATAGTGTTGCTATTCTTGTTTGTCGTTTTTCTCTCTGGCTTTCCCTTCAGACGAGCCTTTTAACTAACATACTTGTTTCCAGCCATCTGAAGAAGCTTTCTCCCGTTGAAATGCTGTAGCTCCAAATGCAGTAAGCTGAATATTTGATTACACTACCTAGCTTTAGTCCAGACGTCTGAAAAGCAGGAAAATAGTTTTATTGTCATAATTGTAAAATGTCACACACCTGCATTTGCAGTCTTATGTGATAATTCCAAAGTATTCTTTAAGCATTGCATAATTTAGCAGCCAGGCACATGCGAGGAACAGAAGGACAGTGGCTTCAGTTGCTTACTGTAGTGAGCTGTGACATTGATTAAACATGCACTTGGCACTTGCTGAATAAAGAAAGAGCTACAAGCTACCCTTGCAGACAGTGAGTTGCATAACAATGTGTGATGGCTCTGCTATTTCATTGTCAGGCCAGGCACATTTTAATCCTGTAACAACACTGAAGAGTGCCATGTGGAAAGGAGCTGAGTTAACTATACTTAGGGTTTTCAGATGAAGCATATGACGAATGCTGACATTAAGGATTTCAAGCTTGAAACGACGATTCTGTTGTTTTATGCTTTGCTTGACAGGCAATTTTTCTTGATAGAATTAAGATTGTCTTTACTTTTTATTCATTCATTTTCCATATCATGCATACTTTAGTACGGGAAGACAGGTTTTTTTTGTTTGTTTTGGTGAGGCAGTCTGGGGTAAGTGACTTGCCCAGGGTCACACAGCTAGTAAGTGTCAGAGTGTCAGGTGTCTGAGGTCATATTCAAACTCAGGTCCTATCCACTGTGCCACCTAGATGCCTCAAGATAAACATTTTAATGTGAAAATGTGAATATTCTAATTAGATGTCTCTTTCTCAAGCATATTACATTGGACCTACTTTCTATTTTTATAAAATTTCGACATTCCTAAAAAATACATGTGTGTATGTGTGTGCACACATACATACATGCATGCATACATAAATATACACACCCTACCATAAAGTAGCTCCATGGTGTAATTGATAGAAAGTTGACTTCAAAGCAGGGGAAAAAATCTAATTTCAAAGCTTATCTCTAACATATATTGGCTTTGTAACTCTGGAGAAGTCACTTAGCACCTCTGTACCTCAGTTTCCTCATCTGTCAAATGAGAAGATTATATTTGATGGCCTTTCAAGTCTCTGCTAGCTCTATATCTATAATAGTATGTGTTCACTTCATGGCTAAATTTTTGTATCTGAGACTTGTTACTATTTGTATAATTTACCTAGATTTTCACAGGTATTTAATTATGTTTCTCACAATATTTTTGCCAAAAAAAAAAGGTGGAAAGATACTGGGTTGATGATGATACAGTTTGGAATCAGTTTAATGGCCAAATTGAAAAGTCTTAGTTCAGTGTCATTTTGGCAGGAAACCTCCAATAATATTCCCCCTGAGATATGTGACTGTCCATGTGCTATTTAACATTTTTATCAGTGCTTTTGTGTTGTTGTAGTTGTTTGTCCTTCCTTCTTGAAGAGGACCATGACATCAGGGAGGTGATGCTGTAACATGCAAGTGTAAATGCCTTTGGATAAAATGCTCATCAGATTTGTTCATGACATGAAGCTAGGAGGATTAGTAAACACACTGAGTGACAAAATCTGGAAACATCTTAACAGGTTCAAACATTGACTAAATCTAAGAAAGTGATATTTAATAGGGATTAATATTGAGTCTTATATTGTGATTTTGGAGTGTGGGAGAGGGGATAATATACAATGCTGCTTGAAAGAGGGTTTGGGCCAAGATTGCACCTTAGGGCCAAACAGCATACATCTTGCCTTGAACAAACCTTCAAGTACTAAAAGACAAATTATCTTTTGGGTTTTTCACTTCTCCCTCTGCCTTCCTTTATAAAACCCCACTCTTTGTCCACATAGTGACCTCCAATTGCTTGACCCCGCTGTTCTCTCCCAGACCATCTCTTGTGCTAGCCACTTTCCTCTTTTCCTCATCTTGACCCCTTGGGAAACCAATTCAGCTTTTGACTCCTTAGCCCCTCTTATCATTTCATGTACCCTACTAAGCCTGAGCCTTGCATCTTTCTCATCATTCACTACCTTTACTCCTACATGTGTAGTGAAAGAAAGTAGAGAAAAATCACAAATTTATGTTATACAGTGTCAACCAGGTCTTCACTGCTGCTAATCAGTCCTTCATTATGTGCCTTGTCAACTCAGTATCCCACTCTCCACAGCCAGCAGCTCTTCCAAATCTTTTCATCCCTCTTCAAATCTCCAGTAGTGCCCCTCTTCCCCTTTCTCAGCTGAGTGCCTTGCTTTGTATTTTATAGAAAAAAATGAGGATATTCACCATGAATTCCCTCTTCTTCCTTCTTCCTCATCTCCTATCAGTCAGATACTTTCTCCCACTATTTCCTCCTTTTCCCTGTCTCACATGATGAAGTGGACTTACTCCATACAAAGGCTAACCCCTCTACTTGCTCAAGCAATCACATTCCATCTTGTCTGCTCCAGTACATTGCTCCCCATGCCATCCCTACCTTGTCACTTATTTTCAATCTCTTAAGTTTTCAGGACACTGCTCCTGCCTGGTTACCCTCCTACTTTTCTGACGACTATCTCCTTTACTAGATCCTTATCCAGATTATGCCCTCTGTTGGTGTCCCACAGGGTTCTCTCTTGGGCCCTCTTCTCTTTTGCCTCTGTACTACTTCACTTGGTGATCTCATCAGCATCTGTGTATTTTACTACCGTCTATCTCTATGCTGATGATTCTCAAATCTATTTCCCCAAGCTCTCAGCTGACCTACAATCTTGCATCTCCAACTCCCTTTCAGACATCTCAAACTGGATGTCTCATAGACATTATAAACTCAACATGTCTAAAACTGAGCTCATTATCTTTCCCTCTAAACCTCTTCCCGCTCCCGTCCTTCCCTATTACTGTGGAAGGCAACACCATCCTCCCAGTCCTCTTAGGCTTGAAACCTAGGAGTGATCTTATACTATCTATTACTTCTCCCCTCTCCCCAATCCAGTCTGATGCAACTTTCACCTTTGTACCATCTCTTGAATATGTCGCTTCTCACTTCTGACATTCCCACCACTCTTATACGGTCTCTTATTACATCATGCCTGGAATATTGCAATTGCGTACTGATTGGCCTCTCTCTTTCTCTCCCCTCCAATCCATCCTCCATTCAGCCACCAAAATGATTTTCCTAAATCACTCCTCTGACAGTGTCACCTCACTACTCAGTAAATTTCAGTGACTAGTCACTGTCCACAGGAGCATACATTCTCCTGGAAGGTACAAGGTGTATGCAGAGAAGTTAAGTACAAGATAATTTGAGAAAGTCAAGCATTGGATTAAATTCAGGATGGAATGCTAAAGGTTCTGCTGGAAAAATTTGGAAGGTAATACAGGGGGATGGCATTCTCTTGCTGACACTGTGTGGAACTAAAAATGAAAACTGTTTCCAAACATTTATGCCATTCAGTACTTACCATATATTTCTTCATCACCAGATGGGACTTGTTTGTTTTATATTATTTAAGATTATGCATTTTTTCCTGGCTAAATGAAACATTTTGGAAAGACTCTAATGTCAGTAAAAGCAGTGATCCTGTTTGTATAATTAGCAACACTCCAATTCAATTGAAACTATTGATACCTGGTTGATTTTGGTTTTTGTAATCATATTTCTGATGGCTGTGTTTATTATAAAGTGATGATGAGAAGAGCATAATAATAGTGATAATGATGATGTTAGTTTTCTTTGTTAAAATCTTTAAAAGGACTTTAACTGTTTTTGTTATCGACTAAAATATAATAAATTTTGTTATGTAATTGAATAAGAGTTTGTGGCACATTATCCAGAATCCATGCTTTAAAGGAATTTCTCGTGTTTCTGGTAACTTAAAATTATTGATACAGGGCTAGATGAAGAGGAAATCAGGGTGCCAAATTGAAAGAGCAATCATGTTCCTTGGGGAAAAGTTTTCCCTACCTGTTTTTAGCAGGCGTATATTGAACTTTTCTTGGTATTAGCTCACACATTAGTTTATTCAGTCTTTGCTAGTACTTAACTGTGCCCTGGAGGCACATATTGTAATAAGAAACTAAATCTGATTTTTAAAAACTACCTATACTTTGCAAGACCAGTGAGTAAAGTTTGGGTTACCCCCTCCTCTATGTTGTTTTTTCCCTATTATTCCCTCAATTCATTAGGTGAAAATATATTTCCAGATGATATCACTTGGAGGAAATGTAATTTAATTTTGTTTACTTTTTAGATACAGTAACATTGAAAAAATACATTGAAAAAAAGTAGTATGTTTTCATGTTAGTAGCACACAGATCCCCAAAATCATGCCCCTAATAAAAGTAAGTGATGTTTTATCTAGTATTTGTTTTAAATTGTGATATTTAGTAGTATGCATTTTAAAACTAAATTTGCCAACTTAGTCGTCATGGAGTATTACTAGAGAAAATAATAGAGCATATCTACTTTTTTATTAATTTATTTTGATTTATCAACAATCACTTCCATAAGCTTTTAAGTTTTAAATTTTTCTCTCACTTCCTTTCCCCCTCCTTCCCTAAGATACATGCAGTCTGATGTAGGCTATATATATACATTCCTATTAAACATATTTTCACATTAGTCAAGAGCATATCTACTTTAAATTTAATCCTTAGAGATTATTATGAACATCTAATACAGAACTTTTAAATGCTGTTGGGAAAAACCATTTTGGTTTTGAAATTGGTTAACTAGGACATTTCAGTCCATTTCATAGATTTTCAACTAAGATATTAACTATTAATTATCTCAATGGAGGGATAATACTTATTTTCATTATTTCTTCCTATTTTGATATATTTCAATAATTAGCATTTTAAACAATTTAAAGACTGAATTTTAGGTGACAAACTATTTCATAGGTTTGTAACATCTCTTTTTTTGAAGTTCATAATTTTTGATGTGTGTATATGCAATAAATCATGAGTAAGTAAATAATTTATGAGAACTCAAAATAATTAATGTATTTCTGATATCTGAAACACAATGGCTTGACATTTGGAAAATGCTTTGCCTAGATTTTACCAGATTTCTAATCTGTTATGAATACTTGTAAGGCAACTGGCAGTCCTGTACTGGCCTTTTTTTGGTCATTCTCCTTGACTGATTTGCAGATGACCACTCTAAACTTCTTCATACTTTTTATTAGTGTTCTTGGCACTTTATTTTTGTGGTTTGAGAACTGTTCCTTCACTTTTTTCCTTTGCTCATCTTCCTACTACTGGTTTCTCACTGAGTTCTGTCCTTGAACTTCTTATTTGCTTCCATGGCTGAAATTACCATTTCTAATGGCTTCTAGTCCAGATTTTTCCACTCCTCATTCCCCTAACAGTTCCCCTGGGATTGAATTCTTTATTTGTCACTATGTATTTACTGGATATCTTAACCTAAATGAACCACCATCCACTTCAAATGTAGTCAAAAATGTATCTCACATTCTCCATCCCAGATTTTTGTCCTTCCCTTCATTTATCTGTTTTATTGGATGGATCCAGTATATCCACAAACACCTCTCCAGGTTCAAAATCTCAGCTTCTTTTGTTCAACTTGCATATCTACACGTTTGTTGTTGTGTCCATCCTCACCCCTCATACTGACGTCATCCTGCTTTAGGTCTTTATCTCGTCCACTTGGACCTGGGTTGCTGACCTGTTGGGATTGGTACTCAGTGGCTTTCAAGAAACTTCCCCATGTCCATATTCATTATTAAACAAAGAGAATTCTTGTGTTTGTCATGTTTGTGCACATAAAAAATAGATTAATTTTGGTAGAAAAACATAGTTATTTGCCAAATATTCTTCACACCCCCTTGAAAAGGAATCTCTATTGTGAAGGTTGTGCATGTTCAGTTTAGGAACCTGTCATTTAGATAATTACAAGACCTCTTAATGGTTTGAAGGAAACTCAGGACATTTACCCTGGATAGAAGACAATAACTTTCTTCAAGTATTTGAAATAATGTTCTGTGATAGAGGTATTTGATCTGTTTCCTATGGTCCTAGAACATTAAGAGCTCGTAGCAGATTTACAGGCTCGGTGTTTAATAAAAATAATAACACTCCTTCGTTAATTAATTGATTAATTGGGGGGCTTTTTTTTTTAAGGCAGTGGGGTTAAGTGACTTGCCCAAGGTCACACAGGATTCAAATCCTGCCTCAGGATTTGAACTCAGATCCTTCTGATTCCAGGGCCGGTGCTGCATCCACTGTGACAGCTAGCTGCCTCCTTGGGGGCATTCATTTTTAAAAAACATTTTGTATTTCAAATTCCCTTCTCTTCTCCTTCACCACTGAGAGGGCAGACAGTATGAAATCTATTATATATGTGAAGTCATGCAAAACATATTTCCATATTAGCCATGTTACAAAAAAACAAAAACCCAAACAATAAAAAGCAAGAAACATAAAGAAAATGAAAAGGTATGTTTCAGTCTGCATTCAGAATTTATCAGTTCTTTCTCTTTCTCTGGAGGTAGATAGCATTTTTCATTGTGAGTCCTTTGGAATTATCTTGGATCATTGTATTGATCAGAATAACTTTTACAGTTGATGATTCTTACAATGTTGCTGTTACTATATACAGTGTTTTCCTGGTTCTGTTAATTTCTCTTTGTATCAGGTATTTCTGAAGCCATCTTGCTCATCATTTCTTATAGCACAATAGTATTCCATCACAGTCATATAGCACAACTGGTTCAGCCATTCCCCAGTTGATGGTCATTCCCTTGGTTTCCAGTCCTTTGCCACCAGAAAAAGAGCCGCTACAAGAATTTTTCTACAAATAGGTCCAAATAGGTTCTCTTTTCTTTCATGTCTTTGAGATACAGACCTAGTACTGGTATTGCTAGGTCAAAGTACATGCGGTTTTATAACCCTTTGCATGTAGTTCCAAATTGTTCTCTAGAGTGGTTAGACTTGTTCATAAGCTCACCTACAGTGCTTTATTAATGTCCCTGTTTTTCCACATCGCTTCCAGAATTAGTTGTTTTTCTTTTCTGTCATCTTAGCCAATCAGATAGGTGTGAGGTGGTTTAATTTGCATTTCTTTAATCAATAATGATTTAAAGCATTTTTTCATGTGACTATTGATAGCTTTGATTTCTTCTTCAGAAAACTGCCTGTTTGTGTCCTTTGACTGTTTATGAAAATAACAGGAAGTTGGTAGTGATAGTTCACTGGATCCAAAAACTCCTTCAGAGCCATGCCCTGAAGGGTTCTACTCTTTATTCTGGGTGCCCCCTCCCTGTCACTCCTGTTGGTGAGTGTAGCAAATGGCTAGGTTTATCTAGGCTTGGGCTTCCTTTTTCCACTTTTCTTTTGGGCAGCTTTAGTTGGCTTTGTGTGCCTGAGGGCATGCGCAATGCAAAGTGGGCATGCTGTGTGTTCAGAACCAAGGCTGCAGTGAAGTTGGGCAATGCAGCCCAGGCAAGTGTGGTTAGAAGACCTCAGATACATTACATGTTGCATTTGTAATTAATTTTTGATTGTTGCACATTCAGAAACCTTTTACTGTTGCCAAATTTATTGTGATTCCATGGGGTCTCGACCCAAAGTTTAAGAAGCATTGAATTCTAGGCTACTGCTGCTGTCCATCAATTTATACCCCAGCTAACAGCCCTATTGCTGCCTATGTTCTACCACTTGTTATTAGAAATGGGTGTGTCAGTGTCATCTCCTGATCACCATACCTGAGACTTTCCAAACCAAAATGCATCTCCTTGGCTACCATTTGCCTATGTGTTTTCTTCCCTCTTAGAAAATATGCTCTTTGAGGGCAGAGACTACTTATTGTTTTTACATCCTGAGAACCTAATACAGTTCATGGCGTATTATATATCTCAAAAATTCATTTACTGTAGAACATTAGGTTAAATATAATAAAAATGAAATTTAATCAGTATAAATGAAAAGTTCTACACTTGGTTTAAAAAAAAAACTTCACAAATACAAGACAGAGCCTTTACCCATCAAATTGACAAAAACAGCAGAAAGTTGTTGAAGGAGTTAGGAGCAGACTGGTAGACTAAGATTCTCCTGCATTGTTGGAGCTATGAATTGAGCCAACCAACCTGGAAAGCACACAAAAAGTTACTAAATTAGGCTTAGGCTTAGCAATACTAATAATAGACATATACTCCAAAAAAGGGAGAGGGAGGGAGAAGGAGAAACAGAGAGGAAGAAAAGAGAGAGAAGACTCTTTTGTGCAAAAATATAGTAACTCAAAAAAATACAGAGTAACAAATCAGTTTTAGCAAAGAACTTGAAACATAGTGAGTTCCTATTGTTTGGGGAATGGATAAACAAATTATGGTATTTGAACATAATGGAATATTTATTATAAGAAATGATGAAAGGTACAGAATCACAGATAGCTGGGATAGTGAACAAGCACCGAGAGAACAATTTATGTGACTACAACATTTTAAAGGAAATCAACTAAGACTGAATGAAGCATTTAAGTGTTTTCCATGTGCAACACATGCTAAGAAATATCATCAGTGCAGTGACCCATTGTGACTTCAAAGAACTAATAAGTGAATTACACTTCTGACTCCTTAGCAAATAGAATGGGACATATTTTCAGACACAGCCATTGTGTGCATTTGTTTCGCCTAACTTTGATACTATGAGTGCTTTTATTTGGAGGGGAGAAGGAAGGGAAATGGAAGGAGGTGTGTGGTGATACCCGGGAAGAGGGAGAGAAGAATAAAGTGTCTGTGAATCTTTTTTTTTTTAAGTTCAAAATTGGGGACACAGTTAAACAGAGTGGTTTTGAAATAGACAAAGATGAATAGCCAAAATATATATTTTTTAAAAGCAGTATATAGATCATATGTGTGTATGTGTATATGGTGGTGTTATTTCTTGCCTTCTCAGTGTAGGGGAAGAGTGGAGGAAGGGAGATGATTCGGAACTAAAAATAAAACATTTTAAATTTTAAAAAAAATTTAAACTGTACCATGAAGATTCAGGGTTTCATAAGCACCCTTTTTTTCCTTGGTAAGGAGAATTTACTTATCATATTCATAATCATTACAAGGACATTTTTTTAAAGTCAGGAGATATTAAAAATGTGTTGAGGACAAAATCTTGTAGCTGTCACATTGCTGCTTTTCTCACATTGTTCTTTGATTTGGAATTTATAGAAAATTTTCACCCACGGTACTGTGGAGGGGGCCCCCTGAACTTGTTTTCTTGAATTGCCCTATTTCCCAGAGTTGAAGCCCTCCTAAACTAACACAACAAACACTGATCTTTTGCAACTGGACTCTATTAAACTTTGAGTGCCCTTGAAGCCAAGTGAGCCAGAAGCCTGACTCTGGCCAGTCTGCCCAGACTGATAAACTCTTTGTGCAGCTGGGACCCTTTCAAATAAACAGAACATCCTCTCTCAGTCCAAAGTTCCCAAGCCTTCCTGCTCCCTCCTGCTCCACCTCCCCTACTGCTCCCTTCTTCCTACTTTGCCACTCCCATTTTGGAAGGAATTGTCCACACCTCCCATGACACCTCCCCTTTTGTTGTCCTATAAATATTCAAGGTTGGGGCATGAGGCTGGATTGGTTTAAGGAGTTCCCACATACTTTTGCCTTTCTCTTGTAATGAAGTTAACCTTTGGTTAACAGTAGTGGGGTCAAGTTTCCAAATTGTTGTTAAAGAAGGACTGTAGTTATGTTGTAGTGACTCCTGGCAGATTCAGTGTGTCCTTTGATATTCCTAATTGCTACTTGAGTTACACAGAATGGGTCCTATTACCCATATTTGTAAAGTAGGACACTGACTTACCAAAGTTGACACAACTCTGAAGCAGTAGAGCTAGGACTTGTTCTCATGTGATAAGTTGCCTTTATGTGTAGTATAATGTACTGTGGTGATGTTAACTTTACTCCCACACTTCTGTGAGGTGGTATGTATCCATATCTGTGGTGTCAAACTTGTGTATTGCACGCAGGCCCACTCACCTGCATGCTTCTAGAACTTTGTTAAGACATAATGGGAAATGTTTAACAAAATAAAGATACAGTGCCAAATAGATCATGTTAATTTGTGCTTTTCTTAGTCAAATGCAACCTATAGATCAATTTCTATTTAAGTTGGACCTCACTTAAATAAAAAAAAAAAGGAGCCCCAAAGTAGTCTCACCACTATCACGTAGTGGGTCCCAGGGCTTCAAAAACTGTCCCTCTCCACCACTCTAACTGTAAGATCATATAACCATATGTTTAGAGTTGGAAGAGACTCCAGGGATCCTCTAATCAACCCCCTTATTTTATAGATGAGGAAACTGAGCTCTAAGAAGGGAGAGTGACATGTCCATTGACACTTAGGATTCAAACTATTGCCCTTTAACCTCATAGCCAATGTTCTTTCTGTTGTACCATGCTGCTGTCACAGGGGAGTACCTGGTTTGTTGACAATTGTTCCTATATGAATAACTACTATACCAGTTTAAAGAATAAGGAAGTCAATTCAGGTTAGCATTGTATGGGAAGGCAGAGTAAAGACATGGGATTTGAGCCAAATTTTAAGGGTTAGATAATTAGAAAAGAACGTAAAAAAGGAATTATGAACAAAAACGTAGGGACAAAATAGCACAAATCACTTTTGGGGAACAATCTGTCTAAAACAAGAAGCTTATAATGAAGTACTTGTGAAGATAAGACTGAAAAGGAAAGATTGATTTACAAGGAGGTGGGGGGTGTATTGAAAAACTGCTAAGGAGATTGGCCTTTAACTTACATGCAATCTTGTAGTAGTGTTTGGGATGGAATTGAGGGAGGAGAACAAGCCTAGAAGCAGAGATACTCATTATTTGACAGGGTAATATTCTTCCAAGTATGATATATGAGCCTGAATTAGGAGAGTCTCTGTTAGATTTTAGAGACTATGATGAATATTAAAACAGACTTATCCTAGATACATTAGGAAATGGTGAGACAACTTGATGTTCAACAGAGAGAATTCATAGAACCTGGTAAGTGGTTGGCTCTGGATGGTAAGGGAAAGAAGAATCTAAGATTATACATAGAAAAAAGATAATGTAATTTTAACAAAAATGCAAGTATTTGAAATAGCATCCTCAGAAGTATTTTTTTGCTATCCTTATAATAATGATCTTTTGACAGTCTGTTTATTTCTTCCATTTACATAACAAATGACATCGCTCTGAGATTTTATTTAAATCACCAGTTGAAATTGTGTTGCACTTTTTATCAATATCATTCCAGTTTTTTATGTTCTGAAAATGTCCTTTATCTATGAAGTTAATTACTCAGATTGGAGTTTTTAGTATATTATCTTTATCTTAATTCACATATGGTACGTGTAAGAGATAATTTTACCCTTAAAAGTAGTACACAGGCATTGACATCATGATGACCTGTTTTCAGCTACTGAAGGTAAGTAAAGGAAAATACTTTAATTCCTCTAAGATTGAGATAAAAGCAGCATTGTTTTGAAGTTGTTTTGATACTGCATGTGTATTTACCTTGCGTTTCTTTTTTCCCACTTGTTATAGTTCTTGATATGGCCAGACATGTTCCCCTCTACCGAGCTCTGCTGGAGTTGCTCCGTGCCATTGCTTCGTGCACATCCATGGTGCCCCTATTGTTGCCTCTCTCTACAGAAAATGGTGAAGAGGAGGAGGAGCAATCTGAATCCCAAGCTTCAGTTGGGACACTGTTAGCAAAAATGAAGACATGTGTGGATACCTACACTAATCGTTTGAGGTATAATGATGTGTTCATGCCTTTGAAGTGATCCAGACATACATGTATGTGTGTTAAACAGTTTAATTTCCCTTAAATTATGTCATGCATGAAAGAATTATCTTTTTTTTCTTGCTTTTTTTTCTGTTAAGTTGATACCACATGATATTCTTCAGGTGTGGTTGGCTTGGATGATGATAATCTGTTTATCAGCGGATTAAAAGCACTCTCTAAATAATTACTCAGTACTTTTCTTTCATCATCTATTCATTAAGTCAGGTCTTAACATTTTATTAAAATTACAACTTAATAGAAAATTAGCAGGCTTAACCACTATTTGTAGGCTTTTGCTTTCTTTTTAAACTACCAGAAAAATTTCGCTCCATTGTGACTGGTCATTTGTTGTTTTTTCGTTGGCATTCTTAAAAGACATCTTGCCAGTTGGCTTCACCCCCCCCCGCCATATTTGCTTTGTTTTCTGCCTTATTTTTCTAACAAGCTGGAGCTAAAAAGATCCAAGTAAAATGTATGATGACAGAGAATCACTTGCTAGAAATGTACAATAGTTATTTGCTAGTTTTTCCTTTCAGGGAGAAAAAGCTTCTCAGATTATCCTGGTTTAGTAAATTGAGAGTGATGTCATCTTCTTTCAGTGACTGAATGCCAAGTACTGAGGAATATAAATTAGGGTGAAATCAAAAGATGAACCTAAATGGGCATGGTAAATTAGGATTAGGGGTCTGGAAGGCTAGGGGTTTAGAATAACACTGAAGTAAAATATGAAGTAGTTTTTGTCATGGTGGTACCGCAGAGGCCATAATATGTGATTTTCTTGTGGTAATATAGAGAATCATCAGGATCATGGAATAGAATAGCATAGTGTATTAAAGTTAGTTGAATGTCATATATATTTTGAAAATGATATCCAGGAAAATAAAAGTTGATTTTATTTTATGCCAAAAAAGATAAGGTATGTATAATTTTAAGAGTTATACATACGGTGTCTACACTGGGTGAATTTTGCCCAGTATTCCTACTTTGCACTATATTCTGGAAGTTTTGTACTAATACAATTCAGGATTTTCAAGATAGAGATACTTCAAAATTTGCAACAGCGTGGAAGTTTTAATATTTAAATAATGGAGAGTATATTGTACAGTGGAAAGAGCACACATTCTAGAGTAAAAAGACTTGGATTCAAATCCTGCCTCAACCACTTACTGCTGTGATGTTGGACAGGTCTTCATCTGTAAAAAGATGGGGTTAAACTAGATGGCCTTTGGATTCCTTCCTCCCAACTCCAGATCTATGATCCTTTATTCCTGTGATATTATTAGTGTTTATAGATAACCCACCAATGCATTCTCGTCCTGTATAATACCTATCTGTGTTTTTCCAACAACTTTCTATTCATGATCTACCCAGAACAACGGAAGCATTCCTTTTTGTCTTTAATATTTCATGAGTATTGATGCTACAATCAGCCTGTCTATTTATTAACATTTATTTTCCTTTTTTTTCTGTAACTACTTGCTATAACTTCTTACTGAAAACTGACATACTCTCCTTTCCATTGTATATGTTTTTGATATCTTTTTGTAACACTTCTTAGGTGTGAATTGTCATTGATAACATGATCTAGTCTGTACCCGCAATGTGTCATATTCAAGAGGGTGTGTGTGTGGCTGTGTGTGTGTGTGTGTGTGTGTGTATGCGCGTGCATGCACGCATTTCATTAGATTAGCTCAATGTGCTACCCATACATCTGCATGTCAGAATATGAGAAATATGCAGCCTTCATCAGTCTTTTTTGCTCTATGTGAATTGTCACAGTAATGTGTTTCAGATCCTTTTGAGAAAACTTTGCACTGTTCTGTGGCTTGCTGATGTCAATACAAGGTCATCATTAAAAAGAGGCATCTAGAAGACCTCACCATCAATGGAGAATCCCAGTTCCCATTTGCACTTTGCAAAAGACATCCTATATGACACAAGTAAATGCCCTTTGGCTAATTTATGTATTCCTTTTTTAATCTTCACTTCACTTTGGTGGTCAGAGAAGTATTGAATTCATGCAGCCATTATCTCTTATCCTCCAAATATAATTTTTCAACCTCATCCTTCTTGACTTCCCTACAGCATTTGACAGTGTTGATCCACATTTTCCTCCTGGGTACTCTATCCTCACTAAGGTTTTGTGCCACTGTTCTGCCGTGGTTCTCTTATCTGTCCACTCCTCCTGAGACTCCTTTACTGATTTTGCATCCATATCATGCCCACTTATGCTGAATAATTCACAAGTCTCTGACCTGGGCCCTCTTCTCTTTTTCCTCTGTGCTGCCTCATCTCTTCTCATATCTTTTATGCTGATCTTCACCCAACTCTCATTTGTAGCTCCAAGAAGCTGTAGCATGTGCAGCAGCCACACCCTGGCAAAACCATCTTGGCAGATGGTCTAAAGCAGGTTGAGGTTACCTGACAGGCCTCAAACCCACTGGCAAGTTAGGGGGATGTCTACACCAAGCATGTGAAGACTTCCCCTTGTGGAATGGGCAAGTGAGAACAATTTGTTCCAACAGTCATGAAGGGAGCTGAAGCAGACAATGTGGAGCACTTAGAGCTTGGTCAGATATAGAAAACACAAAATCATCTACTGCATGCTGGGCCATTGCTGGTCATCTTGACTTTTGTCTTGCCACTGGACTTTGATGACTCTGGAAGAGAGGATGAGGCTGATAACTTGGTGCAACTTTGCCTCACTTGAATCCAGTTCACGGACAAATTAACACATCAAACCTTCATGTCGTTAATTCTGTTCAAAAATGAAAGATAAACAATAACAAGATCTTCTATAGAGTACCCAAAAAAACTATTGCCTAGTCAAACTTTCTTATCTTATATTTGTGAAAAATGTTTTTCATTAATTGCTAATAAATTTAATCTTAATGCATTTGGCCTTGTAGTCTAACCCTTCAAGATCGTTTTGGATCTTGACTTTGTCATTCAGTATTTGGCATGCCTCCTGATTTCTGAACGATTGAATTAGGCATTTAAGTTCTTACAGTGTGCCAGTCCTTCTGTTAATTGTTGGCAATAAAAGTACAAAAATGAGAGAAGGGAACTTATATTTTGATAGTAAGAGATTACACACACACACACACACACACACACACACACACACACACACACAGGTTGGTGGCCAATGAGAGAGTGACAGTTAAGTCACAGAGACAATAAATTGACCCACTCAGTCAACAAAAATTTATTAAGCATTTACTATGTGTCATTCACTCTGCAAAGCATTGGAAATACCAAGGAAGACCAAAACTTCCCCTGCCTTCAAGGAGGTTACATGCTATTGGAGGAGCTCACATATAAGCAGCTAGGTATACATAAATAAATAAATATACACATGCAGAATAAATGAGACATAACTTCAAACGAGAAGGCATCAGCTGTTGGGGATCTTGAAAAGGCTTCTTGCAATAAGTGGGCTTTGAGTCATTTTGAAGGAAGTCAGAGAGACAAAGAGGTAGAAGTGAGGAAATAGAGCTTTTCACACATGGTAGATAGATAGTGCAAAGGCAGCGAGGTGAAAGGTGGAATATTTTGTCTGAAGTACTTAAGTAGGCCGGCATTCCTAGTATGAAGAAAGAAGAGTACATAGAGGAGAGTAATATCTAAAGGACTAGAGAAGTAGGAAGAGGTTATTAGAGGGGAGAGTACATACAGTAGAATAAACCATAAGACTAGAAAAGTAGGAAGGGGTTAGATTGTGAAAAGCTTTAAATTGTAAGTTGAGGACTTTTTATTTGATACCATTCATAATAGGGAGTCACCAGAGCTTGGCCGAAGGGAGAAATCCTGGTCCAACATAGACTTTAGAAAAATTGCCTTGGCAGCCAAAGGAAGAATGGATTTCAGACAGCTAACGTAATTGTCCAGTTAAGTGGCAATAAGGGCCTGAATTAGGATTGTTGCTTTATGAGTGGAATGAAATAGATGTATGCAAGATGTTTTCAAAGTATAAATAATAAGATTTGGGAAGAAATTAGACATATGAGGTGAATGAAAGTAAGGAGTCGAGAATGACAGCTTGCAAGCCTGGGTGACTGGGGAAATGGTAATGTCCTTGACAGTAATGGAGAAGCTGGAAAGAAAGGATTGTTTGGAAGGAAAGATAATGTTTTGGACATGTTGAGTTTAAGATACCTGTCGCACATCTAGATTTAAAATGTCTAATAGGTAGTTGGTGATATGGCACTGGAACTCAGGAGCAAAACTAGGT